CGCCTTCGAGGCAGCCATGCGGCGGGGCCACCCAACGCGACCAGCCTGCAGCGACGAGCTGCCAAGAGCTCTGGGTAAGTGGTTTGGCGCTTACGCCGCCTGGCGTCCATTGCGGCCTTGCCAGGGATACGGTCAGCGCCAGCGCTTGAGACAGGGCTGACGAAGGTCGTGTCGACTGCCACTTGCGCACCCTGCCACAAGGGCAGTCCATTGGCTAGCCCTTCAATGCGGCGGGAATCCGCCAGCGGGACATCCACGTTCATGTCGCGCAAAAAAGCGTTGGTTGCGACACGCGCCCCACCTTCCCGGCAAACCCAGGCGGCGGCCCGTTCCAAAGGTGCACCGCGCGGACCCAAGACGCCCGCCACAGGGCAAGCGGCCCGGTGGTCTCCCAATGGATCGAGGGTCCCCCCGCATCTGCATTGCTTTGGCGCATGAGGCAAGGGCAGCCTCAACCGCCGAAGCAACACCGCGCGCATGCACTCCGAGGGCATACGCAGCTCCGGCGAGGTGGGAAGCGCGGTGATGGCACGTGAGCCGCCAGGGCCAGCTTGAGACAACAGTAGCGCGCGCGAAGCCGGGTCAAGGTCAGAAAGAAGGCTCTCGCACGCTTGCCGTGGCGGCCCGCTGCCATCCCCGCAGGGGGTCGCCAAAGTTGTGCACCGCCGGTTCTTCAGGGCGCGTAGATTCGATCAACTGATGCCATGTTGGGGCGTCGAATCCCGCCCGTTGTGAACAAGATTGCGAGCTCAAGGCGGCGGCCACGCAAGGGACAAGGCCGCCTTCCCCACGTCGTTGCGACGCGGCCGATTTTCGTCATTTTCCATAATCTCCAGCATTAGGTTAATGTTTTTGTCTCGTTTTCATCGTGTTCCCAGCATCTTCATCCATTTTTCATCATTTTGCAATGTTTCATTGTTTTGCATTATTTTCATTGTTTTTCTTCATGACGTTTCCACATTTTCCATTTCTTAATTTCTCATCATTGTTCATCACCTTCTTCATTTTTCATCATGTTCATCATCTTTCATTGTTGTCCATAATATGTCTTGTTATGAACTGTAATTGTCTATGATTTTCCTACCATGTTCATGAGGTTCCATCATTCTTCGAGATTTTCATTATTTTTCTAATAGTTTCCTAATGGCTCATAACTTGAGATTGTTGTTTTAATCATTTTCTATCACTTTTCTATCGTTTTCATTTTTTGTCATGCTTTATCATTTTCATGTTTTTCCCCAATTGTCCATCGTTTCTACTGGTTTCCTTATGTTTCATCATGTGTTTTTCATTTTTCTATTCTCTGTCACTGCCATCAATTTTTACAACACTTTTGTATTATTTTCATGATTTTCTACTTTTCCATCATTTTCTACTATTTTTCATAATGTTTCATCATGTTTTTCTAATTTCATCGTTTTTTTACGACATTCCCTTTTGTTTTCATGATCTTTCTTGATTTTTCTTCACTTCCTATGATTTTCTCAGGTTTCATCATTTTATCATGTTCTTTCATTTTCTATCATTTTCATATATTGTTTTTTTAATCATTTTCTATTGTGGTCATGATTCTTCTGATTTTTCTATCATTTTTACAATTTCCTAAAGTTTCATCACTTCCCTATTGTTTTCATGATCTTTCGTGATTTTTCATGATTTTTCATCAGTATTCACCGTTTTGGCTTCAGAATCGCGCTCTCGTGTGAGGCGTCCTTCGATTGCAGGCCCCCAGCCACCAAAAAAAAAACAAGTCTCAAAAAGAAAAAACAAGTACAAAAAAACACAACCCTTTTCCTTGACGCCATGCTACAATTGCATCTTACTCTTGCTACCTTGTGAGTTGTGTTGAGTAAAAGTCCGAGCTCCTGTGTTCGTCTGACGCAACGAGTTGCTTGTCGACGTGGGGGGTGTAAAAACGTAGGACCTTCACCCTAACCCACCCATTTGCACCTGTGGTAGGTGCGAGTGTATAATGTGTGGTAACAATGTAATTTGGCTCAAGCCCCCCCCATTCAGCCAAGTAGGCAGTGGGATTATTGTCGCATGCCTGGTCACATTGACCACACCTGCTGGTTGAGTCGAGCTTTGACGACTGCAAGACGCAAAACGTTGAGAAGAGCAAGGGCTACGCAAGCTGTGGTGAAAAGTACCCTATTGCTGCCCAGTCACCCTTTTACAGCAAGCAACCATACAATGGTCTTTCCATCTTCATCCAACGTTTGGACGCATCTCTTTCCTCTCAACTAAGGAGGTAACAGGGGGCTACCAGGCCTCAGAGTTTTCCCTCGCTTTTACCATTCATCCTCCGTCTGCCCTTGCCCTTGGCAACAGGTAGTGGCAACCCTCTGTCATTCAGATCCTTAAACTCATTGCGCCGCATTTCTGTCCTTGCAAACAACTCAGTGGTCAGATTGAGGAGCATAAGGGAACACCGTATAGTGTGACAATGGCACAGCTTAGCTCCAAGCAAGGTTTCGTGTGCCCTAAATTTCTTCCATAAGCTAAGGGCATAGCTCTTGCCCGCCTCGAGATTAGTCTATTCTGTAGAGTCGCTCCGTTTCCCCTGAGAGCTACAGACAGGACGTTTCCGCAACATGAGGTGAGTTTGTGCCTGAACGAAGTAAGAACAGTGTCTCAGTGCTGTCATGTTCATGTACAGTCATGTTATCACGACCGACAAGGACTCTGTACTCGAGTTTGCGCGTAGCAAAAGAGACACCCGTCCGCCTGCCTAATTGTACTCTTGTGAGAGGTTTTGGTACGCACGGGTCGGGGGGCAGGCTGGATCCTGGTCAGCTTGTTCCAGACGCCTGTTGGCCAGAGGCGCAGGCGAATATCAAGTAATGAATTCCTGAAACTTACAGACGTAGCGTGCTCACCAGATGCCATTTGCACTCCATCAGGCGGCGTCCGTTCCACCTATTTTGCATTGAGATCGCTCGTTTCGCCGTTTTAGTTGCGGAAGGACAAGGTGGTGCCACAACAACTTTTGAACGGGTACGGCACGGGAGATCGGCGTCAAAACGCGAAACATCCAATTAGTTTGCTGCTACGCGTCACGCGGCAGTTCCTCGGACTTTGAGGCAAAAAGCTCCGTGGTTCACTGCCACTCCCGCAAGCATCGCAAGCATGCGCACGCGGTGACCATCAGTGTGAAATTGCCCTCCGCGATCGGGAATGGAGATATGTGTTCAGCTGATGGACTGATGCAGCTCTTCGCGAGAGAGTGGTCTGCTCTTCCCAGCGAGATTAGGCACTGGATGGAGTTCTTGATGCGGGTTGCGCGTTCAGTGGAATCAAATCCGACAGGAGACACGGGGGCTTGGAGCTTCTGCCTGCAGTGGTTACCACGTGGCTGATTGTGGCAGCGGAACACATTGAGATCAACTCGTCTCTGAGAATGCAGTTGCGCGAGCAGTTGTACGAGGCAAGGAATGCCCAGGAGGCCGAAGGCCTCCCGAAGAGGATCTCGAAGAGATGCAGTCCAGTCTGAGCGGTTCAGCTTTCGCTGCAGGCTCTGAATCCTGACAGGAGCTGTTGTCACTTGTAGACTACCATTAGGGTACCGGGGGTTACCGGGAGTGGCACGGGGGACAATGGCCACAAAAAGCTGCAGCACAAGAAGCATGTGCAGGTGCTGCGCAGGGAAAGCTGCAGAAATGTTCCTTGAAAAGCTGAGAGTTTTCGACTTTTCGCAAGGCTCTGGGCGAAGCGTTGCGGCAACAGCTCCAGGAGACGCTCGTTTTGGGTTTCCTTTTGAATTACCCTCAGCTTCAAGTACCCGCAGTACTGTAGCCGTAATGTCCGCATTCCTTTGAGGACTATTATGAGGGTTTAGCGCTGCTGATGTCAAAGCCTCCAAGCCTTCGTAGCCTTTGGGCACGGCTGCTTGGTCCTCGTGCACGCTGGGGCCCAGACGAGCTTCGCAATGCTTCGCTCGGCTTTGCTTCCAGGCTTGAGCTGCTCAGAGGTCTGGGCTTTCTGGCAGCCCTTTCTGAGGCCAGTCGCGGTCTTTGGCCCGGCCAAGTTTGCGCGGAATGCATGGTGTAAATGGTACGAACTCCAGTGTTCCGTGCCGAGGCATCCCTGGTGGAGCTTTGACCTCCACAGTCTTTGCTTTTGCACAAACTGGAGACGAAATGGTACAAGAGATCGCCACCGCAATCCTGAGTCCTCCTCTTAAGCTTCACTCGAATTGCTTTGGGCCCGGTGCCTCGGTTGTTTGAGGCTCTGTGGTCAAGCCATTGATGACGATGATCCGGGTGTGGATGACCGAAGGCGAGCTGCAGGACATGTTGAGAAGAGCTCTACACCAAAGCACATCTTCAAGAAAGGAGTTTTAAATATGCTACCCTCACCGCCCCCAGCAACTAGGAAGGACGGTTTGGGGGTGTTGTCAGTCTCAGTCTTCGTATGGGGGGTTGGTAGGACCTCTTAAGCTTTTGAAGCCTTGTCCACCAAACCTTGACATTAAACGAGGTCCGTCAAAACAGGAGGTGGACTTTGAATAAGCGAAACATTGACATTAAACCTAAGAAGAGTTCAAGAGGACCCCTTTGGGGAGTTCTTCGTGGCCACGGCCTCCGTCCCCCTGGAAGAGCTCTGGACGCGCCCCTCGGACTTGCATCAGAGATGCTAAAAGCAGCAGGCATGTTTTGATGCGGAAGCAATTCTTGAAGAAGACAATTGTTTCCTTTTAAGCGAAGCTACACCACACACATGCTTCCAGGCCTTGAAAAGCTGAGGCATGTACTTCTTGGAATTGGAGATGGTCCCCAGCTTCATTACGCTCGAGCTCGCCCGGAAGATCCTCCTCACAGGCCGATGTCAAATGGGCAGGGGCTACAACAAAGCTCCAAAATGCCACAGCAAAACAGATCACGCTCAGCTGTTCAGCTTCTTAGCTTATATCCCCATGCTCTCAAGTTGCGAGGCAAATCCGTGAACTTCATTCGCCTTTGCTGTCCTAAGCACAGAGGCGGACGGAAGAGGGAGTGAGAAAAGGGAGGGGAAAGGAGTAGCTGACAGCTGGAGTCCAGCAGACGGAGAGAGGGCGAAGCAAAGCCACGCTGGAACACCAACCCTGCGACATCCTGCGACCATGCTAACAGCACAAGGGGCGTCTGGCTGTGACCCCCCCTGCGAGGCGCACGAGGCTTTCCAGAGTTGCCGGAGCTGGATTTGGAAGACCTGGAGGTTCATACGGCAAAAAGAATCATGGAAGGTCTTGTGAATTCTTGGAAGTTGAATGCGTTTCCTGAGGCTCTACGTCAGCCGCTCAGCACCAGCCTCTGAGCATTTTCAGGATTGACACAAGCTGCTCAGGCACCCCAGGCACCCCAGGCCCAGCAAGATCGACCAGGAGAAGGGTTCCATGAACATTTGCCAACTGCGGTGAGCAGCTTCATAATATGTCAAGAGATTTCAAGTTCTAGAGTCAAAAAGGCTGCAACAAGAAAAGCTCACAAAACATCTTTCGTTTCAAGCTTGGGAGGAGTGCTTCGGGATTGGTGTCGCCTGCCCTTGGCCTGGCGGAGCGCGCCGGAACCTGAGAACGTCTGAGAACACCACCCGAGAGGTTCTTAAACAAGTGCACGTGCTGTAGTGCTCACATGAATTCACATGTGCATCCAGATGTGCGTTCCCAGGTGTGTTCGCAGGTGTGTTCACAGGTGTGTTCGCATGTTCTGGAAGTTTCCTGCAAACCATTTTTAAATTCTGTGGAACAGCCAGCTGAAATTGACATTTCTACAACGAGTCCAGGGAACTTAGAGATGTCTGTTCACATGCGTGTTCACATGCATGTCACATGTCTGTGCGCTTAGACGAAGCTATACCTGGGTTTAAGATCCTGACAGGCTTTTGATGTTCTCGGTTTCAACTCTTTTCTGCTTAAGCAAGCTTTGCTCCTTACATCTCCACACGATGCCCATGTAACCAGACCTGCTGTGATTGTGCGCGCCGGCGCTGCACTATCGGAGTCGGCATTTGAGAGTGGTTGGATAATTGCTGTAATTAAGCTGTAAGCTGGAGTTCCACCTGTGCGGGTAGTGCGGCGCAACCGGTGCAACCTTCCATCGGGGGGGAGAGCCGCAACAGCGAAACGTTGCCAAACGGATCTTTGCATTCCGCGTGCTATAGAAACATCCATGAAGAGCCTGACGAACTGAAAGCTGTCATCACTATGCTGCGAAAGCAGTGGTCCAGGAGCCAGCACAACAATTAGCCTGATAGACAGTCATTTAGGAACAGACTTGTCCATCAGGTTGTCCAGCGACACTGCCAAAGCATTTACAACCTCTTACAGCGAAGTGGCATCTGACACTCCATGACAGCAGAACCAAAAATACACTGAAGGGCCTGAGCTAGATTCTTCAACAGAAGACCTGGCCCGGCTCCACGGCTTCCCCCACCATGCTGAGATTGGCCTGGGCGTGAACGAAGACTACGGTGCCTACCTTTAAATATCTGGAGGGTGGCCAAAGGCTGGTGCTCACAGAGGTAGTATAAAAGATCTGTGTAAATCCGGATGTTGAAAAGTTTTGGGCCAGCTCTGAAATGGTCGACCTTCCAGCCCGTCGTTCGCTCGGAGGTGGGCGTGGTCAGGGGAGGCGCACTCTGCGGAGGTCTGTGTTCGCACCTGGTTCCATGGTCCCTTTGCTACCGTTGTTGGGCGGCGGTGGAAAGGTGTTCGCCAGTGGAGGAGTTTGGTTTGGAGCGGGTGCTGTCGAAATCGGGCACTTAGGCCCAAGCCGCCCGCAGAAGGGCACCGCGTTTGGCTCCAAGCCCTCCAGCCTTCCAGGCCCTCCAGCCCTCCAGCCCCTCCAGCCCCTAGCCAGCCAGCCCAGGCCTCCAGCCCCCGACTATTTTCAATAAAAGCTGTAATATGTTGAAGGTTTCAACAGGCGTCATTCCTTTTGTTGGAGCATGGCCGAGCGTAATTGACCCAGAATTACAAATATGGAAAAGAACTTCCCTAGTGATCTCCATGAGGAGCTGCATACCCTAAACAGGTGTTTTAAGGATGTTTCGGTCCTAAACCCTAATCCCTACGCATGTATCCGAATATATCCTTGCACATCCCTACACAATGGCCTCAATCCGCAATGTCCAGAAAGGGTGCTTTTGGAATTCAAGTCGTTGCCCCAAATATCTTTGGGTCCTAAACCCAAAAGCCTTAAACCCTCGCGTCGATACATCCTTGTACGTCCTTACGTATCCTTATATCAGCAACACGGGAACCCCTGATCTCCACGGTCTCAAGACCCTGATCTGCACGTAACTTTCCACGAATCTCCTTCCCCCCAGCACCGAGGTGGGTGCTGCGGGGGCCCATCTCATTTGATTGTTTCCCGCTGCGTAGGTTTTTCCATGTAGACCTATAAGAACCTCAAATCGTTGCCACGGAGGACCCTGGGGTCCTAAATCCTAAAGCCTGCGTACTCCAAACACTACATGTACATGCCTAGATATCTTTATAGCCTTGTATAATATGTAAACCCCAATATCCAAGAAGGGTCTACAGAAGTCTCATCTTCAGTTATCCTTGACACTCCCTCCACTCCTTCCCCCCAGCACTGAGGTGGGTGCTGTGGCGGCCCATCTCATTTAATAATTTAGTATAGTACACCCAGGGACGTAAGGCGGCTCCAGAAGCCTTTGCCGGGGGAACGAGTTGATGACCTTCTTGGAGTCGTGAACGAGGAGCTCCGGGCTAATACACATGTGCCATTGCAGTTTTGTGCCAGGGCAGGTAAGGTTTGCTGTTTTTGCAAACATTTTGTGTGACGCATTATGAATTACTGTGGGCTCAGGCAGCATGCCCGAGGCGGTTGCCCAGTTAGGAAAAATCTGATTCTTGCGCCGTCGTACCAATGGTCTATGCATCCAGGAACCATATCATTATCTTATTTTCTCGGAGCTGGGTCATGCAGTTTGCAAGCGGTTGCGCCTTAATTAAATGTTTTGTTTTACCGGCTTGCTGCCTGAGCGGGGTCATGGACATAGCGGCGTGGCAGCTGGGCAGCCACGAGTTGCCGAACTGGGTGAGCCGACTATGTCTGGATGGGAAGCACGCTGTGCGCTGCGTGTCTGATGAAGTGGCATTTGTTGGGAGTAGCCATGTTTTTTCGGCCAATAACTCAGGAACAGCCGTTCAGACATCGGTTTTTTGTATAAACTACTGCCAATTGCTATCTACAATAAACCCTTCATTGGAGATCCTTTTAGCCAAGGCTTTGACACAGCTGCAACAGGGCTTTGTCTCCTGGGGAATAGGGAGAGTCTGATCCGTGTGCGCACATTCGTGAATGGGGACACGATGTTAGATTTGCAGAAGAAAGATGGTCGCTTTCCTCTAGCTCTACAAGATGTGCAATGGAAAGAGCCGCAAGACATTGTCACGGTCTTTGACTTAGCCAGTGGGGAAACTGTGCTGGAAGCGAAGGCTGTGCAAGAACTTGAGGCCAAAGCTTGTGAGAGCACAGGTCCGGTTGTTGAGATCGTAGATGATGAGCCTTCAGCCAAGACAGCCACGACAGAGCCAATGTCGAGGAAGCGCAAGCACCGCAGAGGTCGCAAGCAAGGTGAGCGGGACTGGTCCTTTTCGGAGTGGCTTCGAATTATTCGTTTTGCCGTTTCCGAGAAATTTATCCGACTCCACAAGTCTGGGCGCATGGTCAATAACCTGGTGTCAGGGTTGTGTGCCATTTCAATACCCTGGACCTTGACTGAAGCTGGCGATGTTGCTTCGGTTGCCGTGGACACAGTTCTGGAATGGCAGAGGCAATCCGTGCAGCAACGATGGGAGGACATGATCCAAAGCGAGGAGCTCTGCAAGAAGCTTGGCGAGGATTGGCACTGTGTTCGATCACGCTTGCCTAACCACTGGCGCCAAGTTCTCAATGACACAGACTCTCTGAAGTACCGTATGCTTGGACAACCTCGTCTACTTGACAAATTCCCGCAGCTGGCAAATGTCTTGCAGAAAACGGATGCCATGCACAAGGATGAAAGGGAGATGATGGCGCCAGCTTCGACGCAAGGCTTCCTGGAAACGCTGAAGACCAACTTGCAGCTGGAAGTGGCGGATGATGGAGAGGTTGCGCATGCCTACTGATGTCTCTAGAACATGGGTCAAGCAACAGCTTGGCTCTCTGCAGGCCAAGGAAATCCAGCGGCCATGCACAGAGCCAAACACGGTGTCCAGTGAGGATGCTGCTGCTTATGCCTCAGGACTCAAAGACAAGCTGGCAAGAGTGGGCGACATAAGGCTTCAGATCAGCTATGACGAGTTCAGTGCCAGTGTTGACATGGGCTCCAGGACACTCCTGCACCGCTCTGAGCCATCTAAGAAAGCAAGTCGTGGCAACAAAGTGGGGCAAACCGAGAAGTTGTCGCATGCCCGCGAGAGCTTTACGGCCGGCGTGTGCTTCTCACCAGGGTACAGGCTGGTCTCCTGGCCCTCATCAACCGCGATTTTGGGAACATTCTTCGGGTGCATGTGACAGCCGGGAGTGTCCATGGTGAGTTTCACATCGAGAAGGTAGTAAAGGGCGTGGTAGCTGCCTCAGCGCAACGACTGCGGAACCTCTGCAAAGTCGGCTGGCAGGTAACGATGTAGAGTTGCGCAGCAGCCCCGATCCCATATTTCCATGCAAACGCTGGAAGGCCTCGTCTTATTTGAGGAGGATCATGCGCCCGCTCATGTCGGCGACACGGACAGCGCCACGAAGGCAACAGGCCTGAAGCAAAAACGTAAGGAGGCCTTTTTGTCGTCAAACAAAGGCTGCCGGGTTGTTGGTGGCAGAGCTGGGCCGAAAGGTTTTTGGGGTGTCCTTGACTACTTATTATTGAAAGGTGCAGGCTGGTTGTCGGCTCAAAATTCTAAGCTGGGTTGCTGCCCTGCGGAGGCGCTGGTTGGAGCCAGACTCCTACGTCACCTGATTCCCTGAAACGGGACACCTCAGTTCATGAGAAATGATCAAGTCCACGATGTTCTCCAACATGATTTCCAGCAGCGCTTGCAAGATGTGTCCTGCCAAGCCCTAGATTTCTCGAAGCGGCCGAGCCGTGCGGAGGGTGTGTGTGCACGTCCAAAGGATATCATCGCGGCCCCGGGAAGTACTTGATTGCAAAGGCCTTTGCAGAGGCCTCCTGCCCTGATTCAGCCCCACATATTCAGAAGGGTTTGGTTTTCTTCTCTTGTCAGAGTCCACGCGTGCTGTTTATGGTCGAGGCGGTTGCCCGGCTGATAAATATCTCCCTGACATGTGTGGAATAATGCTAGCGGAGTTGAATGATATGGTTTGTGCAGGACGTAGCAGTTAGGGCTCTTGGCCCATTCTGTTGCGCTGGGCCACATCCACTCAGGTGCTTGGCAGCGCACATTCGCTGCGGAGCTCTTTCCCATGAGGACGCGGAGAAAATCAGCGGCCTCACCTCTGACGAGACTAAGCTTGCTGTGGATAGACTGGCCCAACTTCAGAAAGAAGCCTCAACTAGCAAGCAATACAAGCATCCCGAGTGATGTGGCAGCGAC